GAGCCAACTCTGCCCTGATGAAGTCACCTCGATTAATGACAAAACGTTTGCAACCAAACTGTCAACTTCGTTGAACAGATGAACAACTAGATCATCCACACGAACAACTAGTGTTTGCAAGCTTCAAGTGACCGCTAGGGAATCACTCACCAACCCGACTGAAGTTGAATGCGGGGATCCACAGCGTGCAGTGCTAGGACCCCGACTGTTTTCGGTATTTGCTAACGCCGATGAGGTCAAGAGAAAGCGAGCGATAACTAGCATTGGCGATCACCTTTTCCTTCGATGTGACCTGAAACAGGTTCATGAAGGGTCGACGAGGGACCTACCCCAGTTTAACGCAGCAAGATGATCCATACACGTCATCAGGAGGCCAGCGTGTACAAACTTGGCGAGTACAAACCGCAGAAAGCCCTCCAGGAGCGTTACCTGGGGATCCTGGTTCAGGATGATCTCGGATGATCGGAACGATTCGAGAAGGTGTCGTGGAACCGTAGCCAACACGTCGACCTTCTATGTAGAGTGCTTGGCCGGTTTGACTCCTTAATCTTCCCATTGGCCTAACGCGTACATGCGACCGCACGTGAAATAGGCCGTACAGACGTAGAATCCGTGGCGAAAGCAAGATCTCGCTGCACTCGAGACTCTTCAATGAAGGACACCGAAGAATGTTAAGGGCCTTTTGCATGTACCATACCAGCCTAGGCTGAAGTCTGTACTAATATACAGCAGTCGGTATCGGCGCCTGCGGGAGGACCTCACAATGGGCCGCCAAATTTAGAAGAGCGAAAGATACATTTGCCACCCGCTGAAGGAAACGAACCACAACACGAACTTGAGAGGTCATCATTTACAGCTCACTACACAGTGTAGCATGCTGGAATATCATCGCAATTTCTTTTCCTTTAAAGCGCACCAGCGGTGAGACATTTTACTTGCATACGTAGTTTCTGCCCGCAGACTAATTCGGAAACTGACTGCGATGAACCTCAGTTAATTACAGTACAACCTCAAAAGTTGACAACTATATGTTGACCAATTTTTCATAGCTTGGACGGTCACTGTGTGAACCCTATGGAACAAGATCTCTGTATTTTGACCGCCTCTGTAAGTTGTTTGTTGACCACTCAGGCTATGACAGTCAGTAATGATTTAACCTCCGTAAGTTGACCATATGAAGACTTACCATCTGGTGATTCCCGAACGGTTCGTTTGTTTCGATATCAGCGTGCACTGGGACTGTTATGCGTGGCCTTCTGACCCCCAAATCAGTGAACCATTTGTTTGAGGATACTGCGTGTTCTCTCTCTCTCTCTCTCTGTGTGTGTGTGTGTGTGGTGTGTGTGTGTACGCGTTTATCCCGGCCGTGCCCCATGCTGAGGCTGATGTCGCATTCATGATGCTTCTTCAACGCAGTTGGGCTAATGCAACTTACACTTAAACTAGGTCTTTTTAATGTGGATAAAATTCATCACATTTTATTTCTTTGTTCTGCGTATCTGCTAATCTTCTCCCAACTTACACACGTCGCTCATGCAAATTGTGGTAAACTTGCGCAATTTTATCGCGTCTTATATTTTAAATATAACTTTCGGACATTTTGTACTTATCGTGGATTCACTTATAACCAATTCCTTCCATATGCTCATTTAGCGAGTATTTATGTTGTCATATGCGTTTACTTTATTCGACATTGGCATTTCGAATGATTGGCTGTTGTTTGACATCCCCGGTGTGGCTGCGCTTGATGTGCATGTTGACAAGGTGCCTACCTGTCTATTACCCACTACCTCGTCCATCTGGCTCCAGGATACAGTTGGTCGTTGTTGGAGGGGACAGGGTGCACGGTCCTTGTGGCCGTGCTACGATCAAAGAGTGGTTCGATGCACTCAGTGTGGAGCGGACTACGGTCCAGCCACCGCCTTGTGTGCGCTTGATTCCACAACTACAGTGTGCTTGTGTTTTCCTGTGAAGGAGTGTGGGCCGGCTCCGTTGAGGAAATGTGGCTCCCATCCACATGCCTTCCGGTCTTATTCCTTCGGGTTTACACGGGATATGGGTATGTGGTTGGAGCTGTGGGTGGTGCAGCGGAAGCCATCCATGGTCCCTCTGTAGGCGCAGGCGTCCTGTGGCTGGCCAAAGTGACAGGCAAATCCGAAACCGGATGCCGCCAACAATTAACTAGATCAATGTGGGTCCTCACAGATCCGCGCCCACGGAATTGCCTAGAACGATATATGTTCAAGCTCCCTCACCTGTCTACATACACAGCCAAGCCCTCGTCTACTCCTAATAACACGTCTCCACTCATCGCACAGGCCGCAATCAAGAGTTTGAGTGACTGTTAAACACACAGTTAACCACTAGGTTTAGCAGCAATTTCTATTGTGGCGAGATTGACGTTTACACTCACATGAATTGTCCAGCGTTTATGCCGCTCTATTTGGTGTCGGCCTGAGGGTGAAACCAATTCAGGTTAGTTATTGTATGTAATTAATATTATATAAGTAGAACCGTAGACGTTAGATCCACTCGGTACTTAGAACAAATTAGGATCGGTCATTACGAGTAATTCGACATTATGGCCCAAAGAAAAGACCTCAAATTGACCTTGAAGGAAAAGATTAGTCTGCTACATTTTCTGGAAAGCAGTCGCCAAAGTAAGACCGCAGAGTATTTTGGTGTTATCAAGACAACAGTTATCAATATCCAAAGGCATAAACATAAGCATTTAGAGAGAGACGATAATGAGAGGTGTGGCGGAAAACTTCACACGATGAAGACACTGAGGCTACGCTGCGCTGGTTCAAGCAAATAAGGGCAGCTAACGTTCGAATTTCTGGGCCGAGAATACAAGAAATTGCTAAAAGGTTCTCAGAAGAATTTGGGATTGCGGATTTCCAAGCATCCAATGGTTTGTTAGAGAAAGTTAAATTCCGAGATGAAATTTCAGAAATAGTTTTGTGTGGTGAATCCAATGAAGTACCTGAAGAGTTTGTTCAAGATTTTATCGAAAAGTTTTCTAACTTCAGCAAGGTCTTTAACAATAACGACATTTTTAACGCTGACGACTGCGTGTAGTGACCTGGAGATTCCCCTGTTTGGCTGCCGCATGCTGCGTAAAATATTACAAAATCACAAAATTATATTTTCTCGATGTACATAGCAATATAGCCGCTCGTCTGTTTGAACGTTGCTCGCGTTTGTTTGAGTCAGATAGCATCCGCCTTCGAACGGCGCGACGCTCCTCGGTTCCGCGGCCATCTTTGCTCTCCGCGCACGCGACCACACCTTTCCCTAGCTAGCTATCTTTCGGTGCCCTATTTTTAGCACTAGATAGCCTTTCGCCCACTTAATAAATTTTTCCTAGCGTTACTTTTGGTGTTCTCCACTCATCGGAGGTTGGCCTTATTTTCGCGTATTGGTTTTAAAGCGTACCGATCCCGCTTCGCGCTTTATGCGGTCTCTTTTACAAGACGATGCCTAACAGAAGCTTTGTTATGAAGGATGACAAAGGTAAGAGCGGAAAACATTCCAAAAAATGTTTAACAGTTCTGTTGTGCACTAGCTGAAGTGGGAAGAAGCTAAAACCACTGGTTATTGGTAAATCATCTAGACTACGTGCGTTCAAAAACCTAAATCCTGAATACCTTGCGGTCGCCTGAAGATCAAAACGATTTGCAGGAATGACTGCTGCCATATGTGAAGAGTGGATCAGAAGCATCGAAAAGGAAATTATGAAGAAGAAACGCTTCATTATCCTAACAATTGACAAGTGTCCTAGTCACACCCATGTAAAATAAACCTCACAGGTATCAATCTAAAGTTTCGGCCTCCAAACATGACATCACAAATTCAACCTCTGAACCAAGGTAACATCAAAATAGGCAAAATGCACTACGGAGCCCAGCTCATGCAATGGGCTATGGCAAAAATGCAGAAGGAACTTCATCTGTTGCTTCCGTTAATGCCTTGGATGCTGTGCCTTGGGTACGTTTCGCTTGGTTCAAAGTTCAACCAGAAATAATACGGAAGTGTTTCAAGAAAACCGGATTTGTGCGACCTATCATGCCTGATGCCGTCGCCTTATTAGATATTCCATCTATATTCAGCGAAATATATTCTAAAGAGTTTGTTGAAGTGGATGATGACTTGGTAACCTGCGCTGAACCAGACCCAGATGTTATTTTCCAAGAGCTACTGACTGCGGTACTCCTCTACGGGAACAAAGATCAAACGCCTGATTATGCTGATGAAGAAGAAGTAGGATTGAGTGATGATGGTTTGGAAATCATAGAAACTCCAAAGGAAAATGAAGTTAAGCATCTTTTAATGCAAATGATATCATTTGCTGTGGAAAAGGTCCAAACATGCTGAGTAGTGTAGCTTGTGCTGAGAGTGCTTGCTTCAGTTACCTTTGTGGTAAGAGAAAGAAAAAGACAAAGATTGGCTAAGCATTCAAAGAAAACAATTTAAATTGCGAAATGCACACTGAATTTTGATTTCTTATAACTCCGCATGGTCGAACTGCGTTTGCCGTTATGTGAGATCTTGTCTAATATGTTCGAAAAGGGTTTGTGTGAAAATAAATTTCGCACTACCCACAACGGGAAAGTAGGTTACGCGGAGTTTTGGCAGAGAACCTCCGTATGTTGACCATCTTGGTCCAGTCCCTTGGGTGGTCAACTCAAAGGGGCTTTATTGTATATCTAAAAACTGGCTTGACGACGCATTGTGGCATTTGCATTTCAGTTTATCATTTGCGTTAGCCAAGATACTACCTTACGTAACCAAACAGTGTGTTTCTAAAATGCCAGATGGGTGGGCTTATACGTAATGTTATACGAACAATTCGGTGAGTTTACTTGTGCTCGCCCTTTCGTTTTTTGACACATTCTTTTTTAATTGTACTTACTTTAATCTCCACCAGCCTACGAGAGTTGCTAAGCATTACCGGCTAGTAGCAATAGGACTTAACGCTGGGCAAAACGATCACAAACCTTGAGGTGAAGCGCGAATTTTCTTCGCATTTGTTCATTTACTTCTTTCAAAGTGGATACATCCTTCTGTAGGTGACTGTTGACTGCTTGAAGGGACTTGTTTTTATCCAGTACAGTAAGCACCCCAGTGCCCATGAGGGACAGCTGACGAGAAAGGCGACCATTTTTATCCACTGTTTCCATTTGTACCTTCTCTCCTCGTTGCTCGGTCGCCAACTTGAATGCGTCGGCGAGATTTCTGACACGTTCCTTCATCTCTTCCAGGAGGCTGAGACAATAGCAAAATTTTACGAGAGCTATAACGAACGACATTTTTACGCAATAACCTGAATGCAGATTATTTCGTGTCTTCTCATTCAGCCACTTACAGACAAATCGTGCAAATAGTAAAGGGATTCAGATGAAAAAGGGGTCAATAAAAAAATCAATAAAACGCTGAGAAAATCAAGGTCATTTCCTAGGTCTTACTAGGGCAACGCAAGATTGGCCACAAGCTCGATCAGTTCGCAAAGTTTAGGTTTCATACCTCGGATGGCAGAGGTTTCAGCGAAACGAAGCAAGCTCGCGTTGTTTTGTCTGCTGATGACCTTGAATGCGTCACGTGGGTTTTCGCATAAGGTACAATCGAGCAGATGCTGAGCGACTGAGATGGCAGGGAGTTTAGGGCCACTATTTACCAGGTTCCGTGGAACATGTTCCATGATCTTAGTTGAAGTCATCTCTCGGTTCGGCCAATGTATATGCTAACTCAAGTACAGGTGAATTCCTAAACACATGAGGCGGTAACCTGACAGTGAGGCCTATCTAAGTTGAATTCATGGAAAATCTTTTCAGCTGCGTAGTAGCACTTTTTATGGCTTGGCGCAATCGGTAGCACAATCTGCTGTCCTTCTGTTCGCCTTTGTATGGTAGCGTGATGAGAACCATTTTCTCTGGGACCCATTCGTTTTTCTTAGTGTTTTATTGATTGCCTTAATGGCTCCTTTTTCAATTGCATTCCATGATTTGTCTGTAAGCGGCTGAATGAGAAGACACGAAATAATCTGAATTCAGGTTATCCCGTAAAATTGTTGTCCATTCTTGCTCTCTTAAAATTTCTGAGGGGAAATGGCTGCAAGAAATTCTTAAACAATAGCAAAATATCGGTAAGGATTGGATCAAAGAAACGCAGAGTGCTATCTAACTGATCGAGGCTAGTTGCACTCATGACAGAAATCGGAGCATGTCAAGGCCGGACTCACTCAACGTTCCCTAATAGGCTGTTGATGCAACTGTGGCAATGCGGCGTGAGGCTGAATTTATACTGGCAATCTAAATGCTCCATTATGCGTTAGCCTGGTCAAATAAGGTATACCAGAACTTTTCCAACAGATGGTGCGAATGCATCGACGATACTTTTCATCTACTGCTGCGGTTTTAGTACGCTGAAAATTCCCATTTAAGTCCTTGTAGTAATTGTTTTTCAGTGCTTCATCTACAAGCCGCTGCAATTAAACGCGGAGTCAATAATCAACCGGAACTATTTAAATGACATGGATTGCGTGCGGAACAGGGAAGAACAAGTGACTAACGATACAACGCACGCATTGCTGCATGACTGATGAGTTTGTGAAATTGGCCTCAACACCTACATGAGCCTTCGTCACACAACATGCATTCCAAAACTTTGAAATATGATATCTATGGAAAGTTAAACCGTGTCCACATTCTTAATCGTACAAATATCGTTGCATTATTGCCTCAGTAGCCTATATCTGCCTCAAGGACTTCGTTTCCGCATACAAGCCCATGAGGAAGGGAACACCGTGCTCGTGTTCACGCCTCGAACACTTCGTGTTATGAAAAAAGAATAACCGAGTCTAATACATGCATTTCCGCTGGCCATTGTCCTACTCGGCCGCATCCATCTACTGCTCAAACTAGGTATCACGAACATTGCAGCTATGCTTTTACATATTTGTTTGCACGGTTGTTGCTCCTTACACGCTGTCTCGGAGTAGAACACTTGGATAGACTAGCATTCAGGTTAATCTACCGTGCTGCATGAAGTCAACTGTTGCACACAGTCTCCAAAAAACACAGGGATACTCCGCAGTACAGCAGCTCCAGACAAGTCAAATGATTAGACAGCGAAAGGCGCTTCAAAACCTCAGTCACACTTATTTTACTAATCTGGGAAACGTGGACTGTAAAGTAACAGCTAAAACTTGGTCATACTGAAAACAATGTGTCTCACGTACTCGAGAACATACATTGCAGTTAGTATTATTATTATTATTCTCTCATTATCCAGTCCGATAGTCTGTTGGCGTGGCCCAAGTACTCAAAAAATAACGAGCACCCGTTGACCGACTGATAGCGTTCCTGTGACCAAGCATTTGTTACTCTGGATTGCCGAAATTCGTCTGGAGAATTTAGCAAATGTTTGGAGTTGGCTAGTGGTTAAAGCATTCTGTTCGCTGTCAGCATACAAAGTACCACAGTTTCAAGCCTGGGGACTAAATATTTTCCCAATTGTGTGGTTTGCTGGACACTCGCCGATGTATTACGTAACCCCCGTGGTTGAAGCACTGGAACACTTTTGCGATTCGCTTAATAGTGTTCTCTCCTCTATTCAGCCCTATCTATGTAACTCGTCGTAACATCCTGGGCAGTCTCAATCGCTGGGAGTCAAGAGTGTATTCAAACTGTTAAAGGCATATTGGTTAAACGGGCTACTCACCGGTGTTGAATTATAGTTAGTTCCAAATCCATTAGACAGTATTCCGTTCGGTTTGCGCTAGTTGTTTCATCTAACATCCGTTGCATCTCCGAGAACTTCCATTGCATCTCATCTCTTTGCACCCTTATATCTTCCATCGACGAAATCTTTCCGGCTGGACAAGTGCATGTAGAAAATTCAGCCAAACATACTTAGGATGGTTTTTTCTAGTCCCAGTCGCTCTTCAACCTCGTCGATTTCGAGAAGTAACCTAGCAACTTGATCCTCATGCGCCTTCTTCTGGGCGTTTGTCCACTCCTGCAGAGCTTTCAAATGAGCAGTCAAAGTCTTGAATTCGTTTTCTACAACGAAATGTTAAGATGAGTTGGAATATTCGCACCTTTCAGACTGACGCAACGATCTAGGTAGTCTTGTATGTCGGATGACGTTACACTCATCCTATCTTGAATGTTGGCTATCTCGTCTTTCAGTATCCGTAAAGAGTCTGTAGTGACCAGTAGGCTGGGGGATCACGCCGTTTAACAGAAGAGTGCTTACGCGTTTACTTCTGCGTTTAAATTTTCTATCCGTCTGATGTTTGGTTCCGAATAGAAGATCGATGATTCTTGCATTTCGTCCTTAGCGGTAACGGGTATATGGGCCTGCTTGGCGCGTTTGTGCACTTTTTTTCTCTTCATAATGACAACAGTAAGCCACGAATGAACAAAAAGATCGTTTCAATGACAGATCATATCTGAGAGCAAACAGAAAATATCAGGTATTATCATGGACACGTACTTGATAGAAAATAGCACTTCTAAAACAAATCACTCGTGAGAGCGAAGAGCTCCTTCACACCTTGTATGTAAAAGTTCCACCAATCCACTTAGTCACACGTAAACTATACAAAGACCTAACACATCAGGTTGTGGTCGCATTGACCGCATATTTACTCTTCAAGTGTTAGAGCATGGCCCTATTGCAGACGGCCTACGTTGGTGGTTTTACTTGACTTGACCAGCTTGACCTTGCCAGCTTACGGTGCTACTTATCCGTGAAAGGCGTGCCAGGGACGCTGCTGTTCATTCTGAATCCCTCCCGCACGAAAAGCTCTCTTGTGTTTCCTACGACAAGTTGGATTCTCAAAGGTTGACCTATGTCTATTTTTCCCCACCAACACTAGGACCAAAACGACCATAAAGGGCTTTTTCTTCTTAATATTTTCCGGAATGTAAGCTCTGACACGTTTGCAGGTGATAAATCATGAGTATATAGTGCTCGATGAAATACGGAAAGGCTTATTTCCCTTAAGAGAAAACAACAAGTTATAGAAATGCTAACTCAGTCAAATCGCCGTTAAGTCTTGGCTACGGTGAACGATATACCTGGCGAGGACATCGAACACAATGGAAGCAAATGTACAATTGTAGCGCTACAGCAAATATGCGGCTTCCAAGAAGATATGAAAGGCAGCGTTCAGTAGCACCGCCGAAAATCAGCATGCCGGGAGCGTGGATTTCAAGAAGTATAGCTAAGTAGTATTTCGACAATTACACCAAATGTACAAAGGGCCTCGTGATAAAAATGGTTACGCGAAACAAAAATGTAAGCATAACCACTACACAGCTTCACTGTAAAGCGCATACTGGTAATTAAACGCCCCATAAAACTGTTTAAGGAATGAATTCATCTAGTTTAGAGAGGGAAGAAACAAAACGGCCTGAACGCGTGTGTCTAGAATCAATGGTTGAGCGAGTGCACGAAGTTTCTGATGCATCTGAATTGGTCGGTTGACTGACTGGGGGAAACCAGCCGGGATCAGTCACAGTAACTTTGTCTGAAGGTTCAACAACAGGTTCAACATAGGCAGGATTAAGGCAGTCAATACTCACCGATTCCTTCGATCCATTCTTCTCCAGGATGAAGTATTTGGGCTTGCGTGATAACACGTTGAATAGGCCTTCGTAGGGAGGTACCAAGGGCTTTTGAATTGCATTAATGCGAATGAAAACAAACGGGCAAGTGTGTATTAATCGGGAGAAATTCATTGTTCGCGAGCAGTGATTCGAGGAGAAGTTTGCTGAATGGCTCAAAAGTGCTTCTTAAGGCGTTCAGCGTAAGAAACAGAATTCAATTCTCCATTGACTCGAGAATCCAATATCATCTGAGATTCATACCATAGACGAGTTTTGCGGGGCATCATTCAATATCCTCTATGACGATATTACGAATACCAAGAACAACGGCTGGAATGCGTTTAGACCAACGTGCGTCAGGTGAACTGGCTGTGATGGCGACTTTTAGCTGTCGATGAAAACTTTCAACAAAGCCATTTGCACAGGGATGATAAGCGGTTGTCCGGATGTGCATCCAAGCTCAATAAGCGATTCGAGTCACGGAACAACGTGATGTGAAATCGGCATGCCCTTTCGATGGTGATTGTAACTGGTGCAACGATAAGAGAAATCCAAAATTCGGGAAATGCACGAGCCACAGTCTCAGTAGAGGTTTCACGTAAAGGAATTGTGTGTGGCCAACGAGTGAAAGGAGCAACACATGTCAGAATAAAGTTAAAACCGTTAGATGGAGGGAGCGATCCAGTCTAGGCGAACATGTCTAAACTGTGCTTCAGGGAGAGAGAAGGTTCCCGGGTGCGGTGATGGCGTGTCGACAAATATTGTTGCTCTAACGATTGAGACAATACTTAGCCCATTGCCGGCGGTGTGAGCGCGTATTATGTTAACTGTAACGATCGGTGCTTAACTTCACAGTTAATCGAATGTTTAGGTGCAATAGTCCATGAAAATGGTCGAACCCCGTACGCCAAAAGAGGCTGGGGAACGAAGGGTCTTGGTTTATTGGTGGAAACATCGTAGTAAATCTTTACGCTTAGGTTTAACACAGGCAGTTGCAAACATATCGATTAGGTGTTCGATCGAAGTTGTTCAAGTTCTGGATCGTTCGGCTGGGGAAAGGACATGCTCTTAAGTTTAATGTGTGAGGGCGGAAGCTGGTGAACATCAGCATGAGACATTGCATCGGCAACAACACTGTTCGGGCCGTCAATATAAAGATTATCGGCACAGAATTGAATGAGGTAATCCAAGTGCCGTGTTTCTCGCGGGGAATAGCGATCGGAAGCGAAACGAAAGGCATAGATGAGAGGTTTGTGGTCCATCAGGATTACAAAACGCCGTCATTCAAGGATTTAAGGAAAACGTTTGACGGTCAAGCAGATTACGAGCGGTGCGCAACCAAAAGTGCTGCATCTGGTCTGCGCTGGCTGTAGCTTTAGAGAAAAGAAAGACAGCCGCTGGATCACATTGGCGATCAGTTGCTGTAAAACAGCTCCCACAGCGGATTGTGAGGCATGGGTTTCAAAAAGGAGAGTGGAATTCTTATCCGTTTCAAGTAACTCAGGGAAGTTATCCGGCTTACCACCTGTATGACAGCAAGGAATGCAGTTTCGGTTTCAGATGTAAGTGTAAACTTTTCGGTTAGCTTTAAGCAAAGCAGCCAGTGCTAGAAATACGTCAGCACAGTTGTGAATTAACCTTACATATTAATTGACTATGCCGAGGAAACGGCGTAGATTTCTAGCAGAATGAGGCGGTGGGTAGTCCATGATTGTTTGGGTCTTCTCAGGAATGGGACTGATGCCCTTACTATTGATTTTATGGCCAAGAAAATCAAAGCGTGTTTGGTCAAACACACATTTGTCAAAAAAGCAAAACAGTGGGTCCCCTTCAGCCTTCAAGGCAGAGAGAAGACAGAGGTTCCGATATAACAATATTCAGATTATTCACTCCTGTCGCAAAAACAATAAGAGCAGAAACACACAAACGATTAGCTAGATTGAGAAACAAGCAACACCAATCAAAATGTCACAGTCAAGACCGTGGCAACCGAATTGATTGCCTCAAGAGTTTCTGTATACATAGCACAGGTTGGTGGGTCTTATCAGGATTAATAGTGATTCCGTGGCGGTCGAAAGGCTCGAAGACTTGTCGGAGGTGTTCCAAGTGCTCTTCTGGTGTGGTACTGGCTATCAGGACGTCGTCGATGGGGACGAAAAATAAGTCTAGGCCACGAAGGGCTTGGTTCATGAAACGATTAAGAGATTGGCGGCATTGCGGAGGCCAAAAGGTATGTGGATGAACTAGTATAAGCCGAAATGCGTGATAACGGCCGTTTTAGCAACGTCTTCAGGTGCCAGTGAGATTTGAGGATAAGAATAATCTTAGAAAAGACTGACTTTCCTGTTAATCCCAATGAAAATTCATGGATTTGTGGAATGGGGTATTGATCCGGAATGGTGATGCTGTTGAGTGCAGGATGGTCGCCGCGTAGGCGTCAATCACCGGTCTTTTTAGGTACCAGATGAAGAGGAGAAGCCTAACAACTGTTGTAAGGGCGGATGATAACTAGCTTGAACATGTGCTTGAATTCTCGTCTGGCCGCCTGCAGTTTGTCGAGTGGAAGACGTCTCGGTTTCGCTGACACAAGTGGACGCGTAATGATGATAAGGTGACGAACCTCGTGTTTGGGCTCATCCGTGTCGGTATTCGCTCTGACCAAAGATAAAAATTGTTGTAGCAATGATGAATAGTGTGTACGGTCTGGCATGAGTACGCGAAGTCTAACGGAGTTAACCATAGCAACTTGGCAAGGGACAGTTAGTGAAGTGTTGTCAACCCGTAACTCTGCAACGTAGATCAACCACAAGGCTGAATTTGTTGTGGAAGTCGACGCCAAATATACGATTCTGAACGTCCGAGATGATAAAGATGAAAGGAAATTGCCGTCGGAAGCCAAGGCTTAGGTTAAGGAGCTTCTAGCCGTATGTCGCAATTTTAGTCCGATTGGCCGCCTATATCGTAAGCACGGCTGGTCTCAGAGCGCGTTCTTCTAAAGATCTGGGTATAACGCTAATTTCCGCGCCTCTAGCGACCAAAAACTGGAGCTCAGTAGTGGAGTCGAACACGTACAGAAGGCGATTGTTGACTTGGCCAGCGAGAGCCGTCCCCACTACTGGTTGGCTTTTGCGTTTCCCGGTTGCAAAATCGATGAAGATTTTGGGTATTTGAAACCTGGACGACAGTTGCTTGTTGCCTTACCAAAAGGACGATGGAAGTAGCAGTATGACCGTCGCTATCGTGAACGTGATCTGCTGCGATGAGGGTTTCGAGTGGAACTTCCTCGAGTAGTAGTGCACTCACATCTACTAGCAGACATACTGAGTTCCAAACTGGAAAGCCTGTCGCTAATCGCTTCAAGCGTAGTGCTAAAGGAGGGGCTGTTTGTAACAGATCCGGTTCCATGACGTACAGTACTTCTAAAGAAACGTTCTTGCACTTTGTCAGCAGCTTCTGCAAGCTTCTCCAGTGTGAGATCGTCGTCAAGGACTGAAAGAATGGCGGTGGTGTTAGCCGGAAGACACAATCCAAGGTTGACGCAGTATGGAGACGTCAAGCTTCTAAGAGCCAACAAGGGAAGGCATGTGTCTCAAAAGTCGATATGGAGTGCAATCACTAAGCTCGACAACCGAAAACAACTGCTGTAGACACGCTTCACCAGTTGTGAAATGTTTTAGAATAGCTGCCTTAGGCTTATCATACGGCGCATCTGGAGGCACGGGATCAATAACCTTGACGACTCCGGAGGCAATAGCGGTAGGTAAAAGTGGAACGATGAAGGAAAGCATGTTGATTGTGAAGTGCTTTTACGGCAACGAAAAGTAGTTCGACTTGCATA